TTGGATTAATTGGCTTAATTATGGCCCCGCCCCCTTACGATCATTCCGGGCGAGTAATGAAGGGATATTCAAACGGATAGTTTGAGTTAATAGCTATTCTTGTCCACCGTTGGCCATGAGGGTCCTTTCTCCTCGATTTAGGGATAAACGCAAAAACTAAACGGACGGGGTTCAATCTCACAATTCAATTTGATTTAGTTATTATTACGATCACCGACTGGGTCTCTATACGTCAATTCCTCTGAATGTCTCGAGGTGTTCTTTCACTCCCTATTATTGGGTATTTTAGGTTTCCGGTCAATTTCCAAACCATTAAGCAGGGACCGAGAAACCCTGTTGAGTAAGTCCAGGTGGGGGAGGAATGTACACTAACACCCGACTAAGCACCGAATAAGCAGTGAGGAGAAACCTGAATATTGATAGTGATTTGAATTGACGGGAAACCTTGAGGGTGACATATGTACATGCAATATCATTACTCCCCCAAGGTATGTGTGTATGCACACTTGAATGAATCAGGGAGGCGAACCTTGGGCACCGTGACCATGTGCTAGAAGGCGACTGCCTCGGGGAACGACGCAAAACCAGCTCCTCCGCTCAGACATGACTTCTCCAGTCAGCTCTCATGCCTGATACAAATCTCAGTGGGTTTGGAAAAGCCTCCGTCCGTGTTACTTGATACCAGCCATCCACGTGTTCGGGGGAGGTTATATTTCGCCTCTATCAGATTCCACAGCGAACAAATTTAACCAGCAAAGTCATAATTTTAACGCGTGGGGATATATCGCACAATTCTCGACACAGCAAGGTCCTTGTACGGAAGGTATGTACCTACAATTTGCCACTGACCTGTGAATCAGCCTCCCCGTGTTATTATGATTATAATAGGAAACGGGCTCTGCATGACTGCAGTAGTTTCGTCCTAGCCGTCCCCTAGTAGCACAGTTACACCCCCTCCGAACTACTCAGCAACCAGGTGGCCGGTTTTTCATGGTCGCGCACAAGTTCGCAGGACACCACGTAAACCCTTGCCCGTGACGTAGAAAAGGGCGATAGATCATTAGATGGATACCGCAGTAGGAAGTTGGGTTTAGACCTCTCCCCCGGTCAGAATTACAATCTATATTCAGGGTCGGAACATGGACGGCATGGATGCCACAGGCCACTTCCGGGCTATCAATCACGGGGGGGTTGTTACACCTTGTCACTCCCACAGGACGCAACCCTGTGCAACTTGCTGGCCGTCACTCAGCAGCTGGAATGCTCCATGAATCATTGTCTGGACTGTAATAGGCATTATCTACCAGTTGGAACCTACACTGTCGGCTTGACCCCCGATGGCTGGCTGCTGGGCGGATTCATCATTGGTGGGCCTTCTCTCAATGCGAGGGATCCGGCCGTATTGATTTGTATTGGAGGGGAGTTACAAATACCCGACCGAGTCCCAGTATTCCTGTACAGGATGTATGTATTTCTGGTTGTATGGTACTGTATGTATCGTACCTTCCATATGTATCATCGGAGTACGTATGGACCGCCGTAGTAGTTTAGCAGATGGAGCTCAACTGCCAACACATCTAGCATCACCTTCACTAAGTAAATATAATAATAACAATAATCATAATAATAAAAAAAAAAAACGGAATTGTTATAATCATACAACAACAGAAACCCCCCATAACTTATTCCAAACCTGCCAACACCACCTTACGACCCCGACTGCCTAATCGGGACACCCACCGTAATACCGAGCCACGCAAGAACGCCCCTAACCCCCTTGGGGGTGAAACTAGATCGCTGATAGTTACGAGCTGAAACGTGCCGAACCCATTTCATCATGGACCAAAATAAAAAAGAACCTAATCCTTACTGCCTAAGGAATAGTTTGGTCGCCCATCATCTGATCCTAGCGTAGCGCGGCTGTGTCGTTAAATTCTCCTACGACCTCCAGAAAAAAACCGAGGGTAATCAAATGAGGCGCATTCAAATACAGAACTGAGGCTTGGACGTTCCTCAGTGCAGATCAGAGACCCGAGATGCTGGCTGAGTTGATCGTATATTTAGAACCTTGCCGACATGCGGCCATTAGTAACCCGGTGCCTGGCAGGGCATCCAGACAGCCCCCATCGAAGGCGAGGAAGCTGACAGGGGGTTGAGAAAGAGAGGAAAATGTGTCCCTTTTTTTTTTACCTCTCATACTCACTAGTGGGTTAGCATACGATGGCATGGTCCGGTTACCTGGGTGAAGAGTAGGTTGGGTTTGGGTGGAACGGAGTCTTAAATAGTGCTTTACTATCGAACAGTGCCCGCTGTGTTTCTGCGGAAACTCTTCAACTCGGTCCGTTTTCGGCCTGGCGTGGCGCCGCTTTTTTTGCTCAGTGGTTGATCCACCAGAGCGATCCGGAGCACTGGTCAACAATTCCATATTGACTATGAAAGTGTAGTACTTAATTGTCAATTGTTCAACTCTGGCAGAAGATAATTTTTAGTAGAAGGGAAAGGAAAAGAAGAGACACATCTAGTTGACCAAAAAAAGAGCTTTACAGAAAAGAAAATTAAGCAAACTGAGGAAATTGGGGTCACTTAGATACATCGTCCACGTCCCTCTAGCAACTGAATCAAATACTTTTCCAAATTCTCCGGTTTTGTCATTGGTGACCAGCGACTTCTCACCTTTCCATGGTGTTTAATGGCGAACTAGGGCTTTTTTGTTATCGTTTTTGTTCGGCCACCACGTAGAGTATTCGCTTCTATACTTTGGTAAGGTTCTATGTAATCCTACAACAACCCAAGAATCCCCTTTTCTGCCGTCTATTCACCGTTAAGTTCATCTTGGCTAGGGCTGGAAAGGTGACCCCATATTTGAGCTGGCAGAAGGTCTAGATGTCGTCGTTGTGTCCATATTCCTGCAGCAGGAGCTGATTACAAGGAATTCCCAAGATGAAGTAGTCATCATCATACATTTCCCGAAGGCCGACGGTAGATGTCCTCCAATCCTTGGTACTGGGGAGTAAAGCTACACTTCGAGGCAGTGCTCACAACAAGGACCACTTTGCCTTTTGTAGATGAGAGAGAATACTCTGCTCCTTTTCCTGGATGATGAAATTGGAGTACGGGAAGAACGCGGAGGAAGACAAGTGCTGCCATCCTCACTTGAACTGATGCTTTGCCGTGTATTATCTCGCAACTTCTCTTACACTTCATGATGATCAAGATTCATGTGGTCAGTGTATTGACCTGGAGATGCAGGGCATTCGGTCAACATTGCTTCTCTCCTTTCCTACTGAGATCTGTATGTAGCTTCAACCGAGAAGAAATGAACCGACCGTATGTGTATGGCGCTACTGGCTATGTAGGGTCTCTGGTAGTGCAGTACCTGTGGGCTAATGGCCCCGCGAACCCTCCAATGGGCTGCTGCTGGCCGCAGTGAGAAGAGGCTGGTGACCTGGATGGACGCCTTGAGCCGATCCCAATCTCGTCGTAACTTACCTCATGTTCTGGTGGCCACACTCAGATGTTCTTGGGCGTATGGCATCACAGACACTTCTTGAGGTCAACACTAAATCCATTGCTATCTACCGTACTTTGATCAACAATACTGATAGTATGGCCTTTCTGTAAATATGGGACACCCGTTGTGGTGGGCTGTATAGAGAACTCCACTGTTTACGTAGCTTCCAAGGGTGAACACATTTGGACGCATCAGCTGGCAGTGCAGTGGCATGAAAAGGCCATGGCTAACAAGGCAGTTGTATGCTCCCCGCAGAATAATTCGAAGAGTTTCTGATATCGCAGACTATCCCACATTGCCGCATAGAGTCAAGCCCTCCGGATCTTATGACGCTCCTTCTCGCGCGGAGTCCTCACCCCAGCATTGTTGGGGATCGTGTACGTGGCGCGGCTAAGAAAGGCAGGATTGGAGTGGGAAATGACTGAAATAAAAGGAAAGAATGAGTAGTAGAGTATATAGCTATAGTCCGCGATCTCAATATCCAATTGTTTATCTGTCTAAGGTTATATACTAACAGCATAAACGAGCTTCTTTCCCCTCACTTATCTATACCTCAGCATTGGAGTCCCCGTAAGAATGCCCTCCCATCCCACTTGCTGAGTAGATGTAGGGTGTGGTCTCAGCAAGCCCTCCTCGACTAGCTTCTCTGTACGGGAATACCACCGAGTCGTCCACTCGTAGTCTTGTCTAAACGATCCTTTCAGATCCACGGTTTTACCAAAGACCCATTCAGTTTGCATGTCCTTGCGCGCAGCCTGGCCCATGGCAGTAATAGCATATTTTTATGCTATCAGTGGAGGTTATGTAGTCAAGATTAACAGATATCAAAAGGCTTCCAAGGTTGCCGAGTGGGTCCATAGTTATGGACATAACTCGTTTATATAAGCAGCGGTTGCATAACGCGCAGAGAGGCCTGAGCTCACTAGAGGTAAGTAGAGATTGGTGTAGGCGCCAACCCGTCCGAATATAACAAGTTCCAACAATTTCCATAGCTAACGAGTAGTGCTATCCTCTTGCCTCCTTCTTGCGTCCGCTTCTTTGTTTCTCCCCAGACACACACTACTACAGGTCCATGAGTAGCAGTTGTCACTTCATCGGCCAGCGAGCTAACTCCAAGTTCCCAACATTTGACTCTACAATCCGTGTAGAAGATAATGTACTTGCTGCTTTACGGGCTCTAGCTAACAAGCGGTCTCGGGGTCCTGCGCTATACGTCAATATTATTCCTTCAGAAACGTGAATAGTACAACCACAGAATGTCCAGTTAGATCGTCACAATTCCATCACCTGACATCACCTGCAACCTTCTCTCACTTAGCCGATTAACACTTCTCACTTCGCATCATCTTATCCGGGCATACGAGAGGCCTGCCTAAGCAACTCTCAGAAGAAGTTTGCGGCAAGCTACGAATTCTATCAGCTTATCAACTTTATTGGAGCTTATCAATTATCTTTATATTCTTTTTTTTTTTTTTATAACAGTTCGACCATGAACCCCGCAAGAGGGCGTGTGCCTGGCCAAAGGAGCCCCCATGTGTTGGTACGTACTAAGATGATATCAAGCCTCACTTGACCACATATTGCGGGTTCCTTTGTACACATGTGTTTGCAATTGTACTCACCTGGCGTTAATCTCAGGTAACCGACTCGCGTGAGCAGCAACCATCTGCCCAACCTCGCCGTCGTCGTTCTCCATCTACACGCTTCATCACAGTCGACAACGTGCTCCAGTATACATCGGATGTCCCCTCAATGCAACAACGTCATCCACCCCAACCGTCGCGAGCCCGTCCGCGGTCGCGTATTGCGTCCGCAACGGGTGGCTTAATTGGCTCAGGCATGGCAGGTGCATCCAGCGGCGGTACCAGCGCAGCAAGTACTGCGGTAACGATGGGCCGTCTCGCAGCTCAGCCCCGCTTACCCCCTCGATCAACAAAAGTTAGTGAAAAATTGGTACTTCTTCCCGAGTCGGAAGACGTGGATAATAAGCTGTCAGAAGATGAGGAGGAAGATGTTGACGAAGAGGCTGTGGATGAGGAGCTGGTTCAGAGACTGGCGAAGGACAAAAACATCGATGCCGAGATCGTAAGGCAACGACTATTAACCCAGAAGAGGCTTGGTGGGGAATTTGGCGTTGACAATGACATTGCGCCCCTGCTGGCAGAGGAGGAGCTATTGCGCCGCCGGAAGGTTGCGCCGGAGAAGGCTAAAAGTTATGCAGAGCGGTTACCAAAGACTCGTCGTGCAGGGAAATTGGCCCGTGTGACTGCCTACTGTACTGCACAGGCTTATAAGATGAGTTCCCTGGCGACGTTTGTTAAGGAGAGACATGGAGGAAAGACGAAGCTCTACGACGATTGCCTGTATACCGCGTACCATTTGCCGTTGTTACCCGGTCATGGAGGTTACAGGCTCAGAAGTAGTCCGGTTGTGAAGAAGCCTGGTGGAAAATCTCTTCTAGATGAAGAAATCGAGCGGAATGAGCTTCGTGATCACCATGAAGACTACATGCCGGAAGCAGAGGAGCATTCGGTTGTCGGAGGCCGTGGCGAGCATGGCGAGCAACACAGTGATAGCGAGACCCCTGGACATGGTCAAGAGGGCTACCATGCAGGTTCGGAGACCAGGGCCGAAGCTACTGATGGCGCAGCTTATGATCATAGCCAAGCGCTCGTTGGACCACCGGAGCCTACACGATTGCTATACAACGTGGCAGAGATGTTTGTTTTCAGTTATGGTGTGGTGGTGTTTTGGAACTTCACAGACAGGCAAGAGAAGGATCTCCTCGCCGATCTTGCGTTTGCGACGTCGTCCGTGACTGGAACTCCCATTCCGCTGGCCACTATGCCTTTACAGGAAGAGGATTTCGAAACGGAGGAGTTCCATTTCGAATATTCGACTGAAATCGCTCGCCCCCGCGTATACAACGACATGATTACACTACGAAGCGGTGACCACATGATCAAATTGGCTATCAGTCATGGCATTGCTCAGAGCACCAAACTCTGCTTCTTCGAAGAAGTCATGGCCAGGCAAATGGCCGAAGCAAAGGACGTACCACGTAGGCTCGCCATGACCGGCAAACTGGGCATGAAACGGGAAGAAGTATTCAGAATCCTGGGAAGCTTATTCAAAAGCAGGGTAGAGGTCAATCTCTGTAAGTTATACCACAACCTACATACTCAAGATCCCAGTACTTACAAACAACCAACAGCCTCCAACATGTTAGACGTCCCCAACTTCTTCTGGGAAAGCGAACCAACCCTATACCCACTGTACATCGCCGTCCGCGAGTACCTCGAAATCAAGCCACGAATTCAGGTCCTAAACGAACGTTGCCGTGTCTTCCTCGACCTCGCCGAAATTCTTTCAGACTCAATAGCCGACAGCAAAACCTCCCGTAAGTACCCTCATTCTATCCTTTCCAAACAAACGACTGACCCGTCAAGACCAAACCTGGATCATCATCGTCCTAATCATCATCTCCATCCTCGTCACCACCTCCGAAGTCTTTCTCCGATTCGGCCTCCTCTCTTCCGGTAAAGGCACCTCGTCTACAACTAATCCATCAATCAAGAGTCTACTTCCCGTTAGCGCCTAACTACTTAATGTCTAGCTGTGCAGGTACTTCCAAGATAGAACCTTATCTGGAACGCTGTCAAATCCTGTATAGATAAATGCAATGAATATTAAATTACCGTCTCTCAAGGATCCTACTATCTCCTGTCTATCCTGTATACTTTCTGTAGTGAAATCGATTCCGCCATAAACAATATTGAGGTGTTCAATATCACCCTATCAACGCTCTAGGCTGCATCTGTCAAAGTATCATGCTCGATCAGAATGCCCCAGAGGATGGTTTGGATGTTCGAATGTTTGATGAGTTTACGTGTGTGTATATCTAGAGAAGCAGCGAGGTTAGAACCTCGGCATATTTTATCCCGAGTAAGATATCCCATGTGATCTGCGGTCTCCATGCTACAAATAGATTGATCACTAGGATTTCATATAGAAAGTCTGTGGCTGAATGAAGATTTACCACAAACACCACGCACCTCACGCGACACTCTATATCTCGCTCGCAGCTCCATATAGTGCGCCCGCGCCCGGCTGCTAACTCAGTTATATCGACATTCTATGTAGTATAGCTAGCTATATTTTTTTTTCGCTTTTATTATGGTTTAGGTAGAGTGAATATGCTGAACTGTGTGTAATCACTAACTCTACCGGCACTCCTGTTCTGAATCTAAGAATTTCAATATTTAGCCCGGCGTAGTGATTTGGTTACAAGCCCGATCAATACCACGGAGGACGACTATCATTTGGTCCTTCACTGATTCGTCCTACCTGACTTGCGTACAATTATACGTCCATTTACGCACACAGTACATACACCATCCAAGAGAATTCAGAACATAATATAGTGCTCGTAAGAATATGCTAAATTAAACATGTCGGATATCAATACAAAGGGCCACACCCCGGTAGATCTATGTATTTTAAGGATAAACTCCAGCCTCAACACCCTTTCTCTAACCAGTCACCTTGAAGATAGACTCGGCAAGTCTCTTGACATTGTCAGAGGTGATGCCGGCAACGGAGATACGGCCATCCTTGGTGGCGTAGACGGAGTGCTAGAATAAACATTAGTGATGGGTGTCTTCGGAAAGCGACTGTACCGATAATTGCTACGTACCTCCTTGGCAAGAGCATCCATCTGCTCGGGCTTGAGACCAGTGTAGGCGAACATACCAATCTATGGCAAGGTGAGTTAGCATCTGTCGATATGTTTCATCCAAAAAGCTCCTTACCTGGCTGGTGATGTGCGACCAGTCGTGCTTGCTGCCCAGGTCCTCCAGGTTCTTCCGGAGCAGGGAGCGCATCTCAATGATGCGGTCGGCCATGCCCTTGACCTCTCCCAGCCACTGCTGGTTGAGCTCAGGGTCGTTCATGATGGTGGAGGCAACACGGGCACCGTGAATAGGAGGGTTCGAGTAGAAGGGGCGGATGAGGATCTTAACCTGAGAATCCACACGCTTCTTCTCTTCGGTGTTCTCACAAACAAGGGAGAAAGCACCGACACGCTCACCATAGAGACCCTATGACTGATCAGCTACTAGTTTCTACCTTCCGGTACCTGTACTCTTACCATGTTCTTGGCGAAACTCTGGCAGAGGGCAATGTTGTGGCCCTCGCTCACGAAATGCCTGGGGGCAAAAGCATCCTGGTCAGCATTGCCGCTAGCGAAGCCCTGGTAGGCCATATCGAAGAAGGCAAAGTGGCCCTTTTGCTTCATCACATCGCTGATCTGGCGCCATTGCTCCTGGGTAGGGTCGACACCGGTGGGGTTGTGGGCGCAAGCGTGGAGAAGGATGATGCTGTTCTCAGGGGCGGCCTTGATGTCGGCAATCAGACCCTCGAAGTCGAGACCAATGGTGTCCTTGTTGTAGTAGCGGTACTTCTCAACCTCCAAACCGGAGTCCTTGAAGACAGCGTTGTGGTTGGCCCAGCTAGGGTTAGGGAGGTAGATCTTCTTCGCATGAGGGTAGAAGCGCTTGAGGAAAGCACCACCGATTCTCAGGGCACCGGTACCAGAAATGGACTGGGTGATGACGAGGCGGTCCTCCTTAATGGCAGAGGAGTCCTTGCCATAGGCCAGCTCTGCAGCGGCCTTGGTGAAGGAAGGGACACCGGTGATACCAGCGTACTCCTTGTCAAAGCGGGAGGCGACAACCTTGTCCTCTGCGGCACGAACGGAGGGCAGAACGTATGGCTTGCCCTTGTCATCACCTATTGATTCACAAGTTCGAACCATGTCAGCCCGGAAGTAGATGACAAGCTCGCCATGAGCTAGTTGGATTGAATGAACAAGCGACAAAGAAATGATTGCTTACGGTAAGCGCCAACACCCAGGTTGATCTTCTCCTTGAACGAGTCGGCCTTGAAAGCCTCGGTGATACCAAGGATAGCATCCTAAAAGGCATTGAGTTAATTGTGACACGCAATTGACGTTGGCAGTGCACTATAGAGCTTACCGGAGGGCCCTGAGGGACGTTGGACCAGGCCGAGGCATGTCTGGCACCAACGACGACGGTGCGCATGTTAGCGTCACGCGAAGCAGCCCTACGGCTGGCGACTCTGAGGGTAGACAGCATGGTGAATGGAAAGGGAAAAAAAAATCTAAACAAAAGAAATCCAATCAATTGCAGAGTCAGCTGCAGAGGTCCTCGAGATGGAAAAGATTCCAAGGAGAGAAGAAAGAGATCGGACAAGGAGGCGAGCAGATAAATAATCGGAGATGCTGCGTGTGTGTCATTTTTCGACTCATGTGAACTAGGAAGATTCCGGGGAGCGCGAGCCACCGATTCGGATTGGTCGCCCTCTCCGCACTCACGGTTAAATTGATCAATTCCAGCTTGTGTCAGCTCGGGCGGGATTTTGACTTTAATTTACTCGAGATGCATAAAACCGTCTATGACTAACTAGTAGTAGTAGGAGGAACCTTGTATCGATCCTGTTTTTATTTGAAGGGAAAAAAAATAATAATTCATGGACCATCTTTCGGCAAGCCGATCGCGGTATATCATACTATCATACCATACCCATACACTCCTTCCACTCGGGGATAATAAATCTGATAACAGATCCGAGTGATAGTATGATCGTTAGGCAAGAAGAATAGGTAACTAACGGAACCTCTAAAAAGTCCCTGACGGTTTAAGCATGGCGCCACTGCGTTCGGCGCTTTCGGTTTTCGGTGAGCTCTTTCAGAATTCTGGCCCACTGTGGCCTGAGGCCGCAGCCCTCGGGAGCGCCTCCCGATTCCTTTTTGGGAAACGCTTCCCCTCACGGAAAGTTTGGGGTAAATTGGAGTCGGCCTGAAGTGAACATTCTTTGTTGTCCTCCTCAAGCTCCATAAGTCAATGCTCAAGGATATATAACGGGGTTCTAAACCCAAAGATAATTGAGAGTCCTACTGTTTTCTCCCCCTAAAGAATCATTCCTACTAGCACACCGTCTGCCACATTCGTACGGCCTTTTAAGAGGAACTCTCGGAATCTGACAGTTCCATAGCGGTTAATTTCCCCACACGCCAAGTTAGTGATCGTCAATAAACAAACAGCAATGAAGGGCGCAAACAAGCTAACTGCTTCCTGCTCTGGACTTTCTCCCACTCCCTGAACAGTTGGGCCCGGCGAAAAGGATCTACTTTCGGCAGTGAACAGGGGGCAACAGTCGCGGATAGGTAAATATTGTTTCTATTCTTGGTATACCATAAGCTGTACAACGAAAACTAGGAATTAAACTGCATGGGCATCACAAAGAAAATATGGCGTAGAGTATCAATAGGCGAAATAATGGCGGCAGCCATTTATCCCAGTCGCACACCAGCCTGGCGATTCTTCCGGGCCGTCGCTCCCATAGCATTATTCATGCCCGTATGCTGACTGCTGTCTAATGCGCTCATTGCCTCTCGCTTCTTTTCCTCCTCAATCTTCTTCAGTCGCTTCTCCGTCTTCATCTTACCACTGCCCTTGCCGTGGAACTGGTGACTCAGATGCTTGAATGCCTCCTTCTGGTTCATCATACGGCCAAACTCATCCACGTACTTGAGTTGCACATCGGGCTTGTATTCCTTGTTGAAGACTTCCGCCATATGACGAGCATCCTGCTGGTCACGTTGCTTGTTCTCCCACCGCGCGTACTCTTCTCTTTCACGAGCAGACATCTGGTTGAGCTTTCCGGAAGCTCGGTCACGCTCACGCTGCAGACGGGCACGTTTTTCAGCTTCGGTTTCGAGGCGATTCTTTTCTTGTAAGAAACGCTGCCGATCACGGATGAGAGAATTATGGTCGGCAGCATCGGATGACTTGACCAAGCCACGCTGCTTGAGCATCGACAATGTGGCACCAAGACCTTGGTCCAGTGTGGACTCTTCTTCCAAGCCGGTGCCACTGATCTGCTGGTTCGCTGTGGCTTCTTCGCTCTTGATGCGCGCTTTGAGATCTTCCTCGTCCTCGATATCATTGTATGAACGTTCCATATCCACGTCACCGTCCTCCACAGGTTCATCCTTCATACCAGGACCTTCAGACGAAGCACGTGGCTCCTCGACCGGCGTTGTTGACCGCCTTTCACGGCGTTCAGGGAGCGTAGGTTTCTGTAGGTTAGAGACAAACTCTGAGGTTTCATCTATGACCAGACCGGGCTCTTCCTCATTCTCGCCCGAGCCTTCCACGTCCATCGGTGTCTGCGACGCTTCTTCTCTGAGCTGTCGTGCGATGTCCTCAGGACGTGCTTTCTGGCGTTTCTTGAAAGCAGCACGCCTCTGGCGCGTAAGAGAGGCTTGTAGATCATCGTCATCTACAAACGAGATATCCTCGTTAAGGGACTTGCGGGGGGCAGGAGCGGGTACTGGCTCTCCGTTACTTGCATCAACTTCCATGGAATTCCCATTTGGTGTACCCGTCGCCTCAGCCGTAGGGGATATATCATCCTCGTCCATAACAGCACGTTGCTTTGTCGTCTTGGCCTTCTTTTTCTTAGGTTTCTTCACCTTGATTTCGCTCACGTCCATATAATCAGAGATTGGCGTTTCCTCCGCAAAATCAAGGCTGATAACATTCTTCTTCAATTTCTCCGAGACTTCTTGTCGCATAGCCTCTCGCTCTTCGGCAGTGGATCCTTGGGCATCGAGTGTAAACCGCTTCCGCTTCTTGCCCTCGATTTCCTCATCGTACTGTGCGAGTATTCCGGTATTTTCTTCCGTAGGATCATAAACGGGCTTGCGTTTCTTCAGCTCGAGCTTCTCTGTAGTTTTCTCCTTTTCTTTAAGTTCCAGATTTTCCAACTCGTCGCCTTCCTCCTCGTTCTCATCGATCGTCGTATCCTTCAGCGTAAGAATATGATCCTCTCCACCATCGAAATCACCAACAGCATGCCCAACCTTGACACCAGCCAAATCTTCCGCAGTGTATTCAGCTGCACGAGCCCGCTCCTCCAGTTCTTCTGCGAGTTTGCGCGCGCGCTCTTTCTCGATCTTCTTCTGTCGCTTCTTCGTCTGCTGTAACCAAGTCTTTGTGTCCACCTCCGCATCGGCAGCTTCTCCTAGAGTCGCACCTTGAAGCTTCATATTTCTCTGAGCCTCCTCACGCGCCTTTCTGATCGCGGCGTTTCGCTCTTCCCGTTTCCGTTTCGCCTCGGCTTCATCCTGCATCTTCTTCCAGTTGGAGGACGCCAGCGCCTCGCGCGACTCGAGTGTACTGCCCGGCTCGTCATCTTCGGAAGACGAGCTCGAGCCGTCGTGTTCGGATTCCTTGAAAGTAGGACCAGAGGCGTCGGCACCGGGGACGGGGAGCGGCTTTAAACCCAGCGCCACTCGGATTTTGTTATTCTGCTCGATGGAAAGTGCGTCGGCCATATTGGCGACAGGTGAGCGTTATCAAGGAAATATAAAAAAAACACACTGGGTTAAAAAAAGACACAAGACCCAAAGCGGCGATAGAAGGGTGTGGTCTGTAAAACCGATTAGAGACCAAGCGCCCGATTACCATCGATAGATTACCAGAAGGTGAGGTCCAGACGGGGCTTACCTAACTGAAACTCGTCTCGGTAAGGTTTAGCGCGGCAAACCCGTTAGCGCATGCTTTAGCGCGAGAGATAAAAGGCGGCAGCGGCTGGAGCTCAGAAATTTTTTCTTTTCTTCTTCTTTTTCGAACACACACGGATCTGTGTCCAGCGATCCTGAGCGTGGAGGCTTGTTCTCTGCGTCTTGGTTGATTACTGGACAGTTCGACGACTTAAGGAGCCATCACATTCTTGGATGGTCGATTATTTCCGGTCGACAGATCTCAGATTAAAGGTCGACATTGGGTGTTCGCTCTGGTCTTGAGCTCCTTTCCCTTCGGGGTCGGTGAGCTCGGCTGGAGAGCCTGGTGCTCGGCGGCGTCATATTCCTACTCCCTTCACCGACTTGGCCGTTGGCCCATGAGGTTAGGGAAAAACCATGGCCAGCCAACATACATTCCTTGTTACTACGTAGTTTTACTGCAGCTGTATGCTAGATAGGAGTGATTAGTAGACTATCTTGCAGTGTAACTGATCGCTCGGGCATCTTTCTCGTGAAGGTAGCAGAGTGCTTCATATACCACGCATTTTAGGCGTAGTGCTGTTGGTTCTAAACCTCACTATCCGGGATGCGTTGCTGGAGTAACTACATTACTCGGCTTTCATTCAACTTTGGAAGTACGGTTACAACAACTTCAAGTGTCCCGTCACGCCGTCGACCACGCTCTTTGGTCCTAAAATTCCAAGCACCGTCCGGCTTCCACTGGCGATCTGTGTCCGTCCCGCATCTGTGATGACCCTGGCGCAGAGACCCAGGCTGATAGCCTGCGCCTGCAGTGTCTCCATTTCCTCCTCCGACTTGGTCTGCAGCGCGATCTTAGCCTGTCCCTGCGATTCCCAGCGGCGCAGCATAGACGAGTTTGGTGAGTGCGCAGTGAGGTACTTGTAGCAGGCGAGGGTAGCATGGGAGCATTGAGCGGCGATTTTGCCTATCAACAATATGTTAGCCATCTCGTTCGTATGCATCATGCACCATAGAAGAGTCAAGAGAGCGAAGCAAAGACTCCAAATCGCGTAGGTCATTAAACAGCTCTAGAAACAGAAACTCCGAAAAAAGAAAAGAGAGGGAGGCGCCTACCCTTCGTCATGCCCAAATCGGTCCTCACAACCAGAACCAGCTTCACCTCTTCAGCACTCTTGTCGAAGTTGGCCAATTCGCTTCCATCGCCTTCGTCCTCGCTGTCGGACTCTTCCTCTTCCTCTTCTTCGTCCGAGGAGTCTTGGTGCACTTTCACATTGTAGCTGTTTGGCCACCCTTCTTTTTCTTTCGAGAACAGGCCTAGCGAGGAGCCTTGTCCGATGAAGTAGCCAGTCACGCCGGCGATGATGGCTGTAGCGACTACATATGCCGTTGTTGAGGGGGGAATGTGGTCTAGGTCGGCCATTTTGGAAGGTGTGTTGAAGCTGGATGGATGGGTTTTCTGTGATCCGCGCGGAATTAAACCCGGTTTGGTGGGTGCGGGTACCTCCAGTCAACAATGACCGCTTCTCTTTTTGTTTGCTCAGATTGAGGCTTACAAGGGTTTACTCTAAACTTTACTAGATACATGACCATAGTTCTATTTATTTGTATTTTTTCAATATATATTAAATATCTGTAAGAGGAGAGCAAGCGTGAGAATAGGGAATGTGACCAAGGCCCAAACGTTATCCAAAGTTTATCTTAGATACTGCTAGTTCATTATATACATCCCTGACCATAAACATCGAAGCAGACATCATCATCCTCATGAGCAGCGATGTTTAATTAGCGAGCAGCGGGGGCTCCCGTGTTTCCCATTCGGCGGCCCCTATTCCAGACAGTCAGTAAAAGATAGCGATCGATCGGATCAGTTAAACTCACATCATAGACCGACTGAAGAAGCTGATGAAGATCATGAACAGCCAGCTAGGGATTGCGCTGAAGGCATAGATAACATAGCCTGCAGGGATCAAGAGTCCCTTCTCCGCAAGCCAGCTATCCGTAACGTGGAAGGAGCCCTCGTACGCGCCCCGCTTCTCATAGGTCTTCTCAGAGTGAATTTTGTAAAGGGACTCAGCCGTTACAGTTGTCGAGTTGAAGTACACATTGTATTGAGCGGTGGCAGGGCGCTCCTCGCCGACCTGAGCAGGGACCTTGAAGTACGAAACGGATGGAGCACCAGCGGCCCAGGCAGAGCAGAGGACCCGGTTCGATTCGCAGTCCAGGTAACCAAGGTTGGGCGAGGTTGGATCAGCAGAGAACAGAAGAACGGATTCCTAAACGAAAAAAGGTTAGCCAGACCCGCCTCTACGTCCATGCGCCCGCGACCCCTATTTTTGGACTCTTACGTTAAACGATTTCTCCGATTGATGACAACGTCCAAAGCATGTCTTGTTTCCGCCAGTAACAAAGACAAACCAGTCCTTGGGCTCATCAGATGGCGCCAGAAGGGATTGCCAGTTGGACAGGTTGAAAGGGGTGACAGTCTTTTCTTGAATCTTCTGTTCGACCACCTTCTCAACAGCAGCGGGGATCACCGGAGTAGCCGTGGGCAGAAACTCCTTGGCTTTGTTGAACCAACCCTGGACGCGATCCGCGAGGGGAACCTGCTCTTGCGCCGCAGCAAGCGCTGGGAGGATGGGGAGGAGCTGGATGAAACGCATGATGCTAGAGACAACAATGACGCGTAGGTCAGCAACTAAGGGATCGATAGCTGACTACAAAATATTTCAAAATACGAACCTGGGTTGGCTATTGAAAAGACAAGCGCACTCTGGGGTAAAGATGGACGATTAGAAGGCCAAAGTACGGACAGCAGGCAGCGAGGAAGACGAGGCACCTGAGTTGTGGAAGAGTGAAACGGGCCACGATAGACATAAAGGTAAAGCTGGTCTCTCCGCGGCAAGGGCCTAACGGAGGCTAAACTAGAAGCGGAGCGAATCACGTTCCGTCGCGGGGGGAGGAAACCCACTTGACAAGTTCCCATAGTACGAATGTTATGCATAGACTACAATGGAATTTACCAAGAAACAAACAGAACATCACTGACCTTTTCCCACCAACGTCTTTGTTTTTACCTTCTTGTAAACGATAACCGCCGTGATAAAAATTACCTCTTCTTTACTAGATAGGGGTTTTAGGGAAATTTTATCAGAGATCTTTCTATCAACTGCTATTCCCATTTTCATACCATGTGAGAGAACAAGTCTTGCTACGTGTGAGGCTTCATATAAACTCTGGCGATCTTTTTTAGCTGCGGATCTGGCTCAAAACCAGCAAACTATGGAGGAAGGATAGAAAGAAAGCGTAGTGGGAGAGATGTTAATTAGCACGAGGACAACGGAGAAAGAGATATGCTTAAAAAAAAAGGATAATTCTGGAAGGTGGCACGGAATATACCGTATACGATATAACATTATTTTCATCGGCACCTTCTCTGTACTTCATGCCCCCGGTCCTCCTTCCTCAAGGGTCTTTTACCCCTTCAAAGTATCCTACTACCGTTTTCATAATGTAGCTATCATGCAGTACCTTTGACTCGTCAAGCGTCATTACTCAAACATCACTTTACTGCGGATTTCCATATACGCATCTGTACTAGTAGCAATGAGGTGGCCCCTCGTTCCAGTCTCTAATGTCATCCCATTGGCAGCCACAACAGCTGCTCTATATAGTTATTGCCTTGGCGCTGCGATACAAGGAGCAAATGATCTTGAACCTAGTCCTGGTAAGCACTTTCTTCTAAATCCGCAATTCTCGAGGAGAATTTAACCACTACTACAGCGGTGGTTTGGATTCAAGAGTCCAAAACAACTGCACACCTGCAGATAAATGATACTTCTCTCGATGATTTCCCCGTCTGTACTGACCTCGACGGCCCCTTCGCACCATTCTGTCTCCCGCAGGATGGAGCCAATGTTGTAGTAGACGCCACATATTATGTTACCTGGAATGCCGATTTTTATCCGCTCAATGCTTCTATTACTATTGAGATGAGATACACAAACACCACCGTTGGAGACTCGGCGTTCACATCTGACAAAACCGACAACAGCTACGGGTATCTTCCCCTCTACATGCGCAAGGAATGGCTCCAGGGGAAGGCGCAGAATGATTTAACACTCTATCTTATCGAACTGAACCCTGCATCGGGCACACGGGCGAGTATTCGGAAAGGACCGATGATCACGCTTCATCCTAAACCTGTAGAACACTACAAACCTTCTCCTCCCATGACTTTCAACAAAACGGCCCTGTTTATTGGTCTCCCGGTAAGCCTTAGTGTCATTATCATTGTTGTGGCTGGTCTATTCTTTGGCATGCGGGAGAGGAGAAGGATTGGGCTCGGGAGTGTTATGGGGTCTCGAGGTAAAGGGTACGGAGTTGGGAAATCCAAGAGCCAGCGCCTGCGCAAAAGTAGAAGCGAATTCTACCATTCCAATGCCGCCTCAGCGTTGAAGAAATATACAGACGACACCAACTCGGGTTTGTCAGAAGTGCCTGATTCTGACTTATATAATGAAATTGAGCGCACTGCAAGATCTGCATTCAGGCAGGATTCTACGAGGCTAAAGAGTTGGAGGAGATAATGAATCATGGATGCTTGTTCTATCGATCTGGATCACTCAGCATCCTTCCCAGAACCACGCCCGTGCTTCAAGGAGTGGGTCATAAGAACATGAAGGGGCATAAGTACGTAGTATGAATTTTGACTTTCGTCTTTCTCTCTGCTGTTGAAAGCACATTGGGCTCTCATATAAGTATAACCACGATCCACTATGTTACTGCTTGAGGTATTAATACTCTTGGCTTGGGTGGGTTATCCATTTCCAGTAGTGGTACTAGTACTTGGTACGGTTCGTCCGATGGGTCAACCCAACCGGAAAGCGAAGAAAGTCCATTAGTACGCCCGCGGCGCCCGCACCCGTGCCCTGAGATTGGCACTTTGTCTCCATTGCCTAGGCAATCAAGGGCGGTGTCGGAGAGCATGGATGACGTTGACGAAACCGGTGAAGGTTCTTGTACTATTAGTAGTCGCCAAAGTTACCCAAGTAATTACATTTTCCAATGTCACGTATGGGCTAGATTACAGTGATCCGGTCAATCAGTACTAACTATCAGAAGCCATATTAATTAGCTCGAGCAGGTAAGCCGTGGTAGGTGGTTAACTAGTGGAGTAGATATGTAAGCAGACGTAGCGAGTGCCTAGTTAGTGATACTAACTAGTGGTAGTATCTTGATTATCAATTGTGTGCTTTCTAGAACCTAATTTTTTTTTTCAATTTTTTTTTTCCACTCGAGGGTAATGCCCTGCGTTCTACTTACTCAGAAGGTGTAATCTTAGAGATTATGAAGGTGCCCACGGGTTAGTTGTTTAAGCGCCCCTCCCTACCACCAATGCCGATGTCGGTTGGCAGTATGGAATTCATTGGGAGAAACCCACCTACCTCCCTATGGACAGGGGACATACTACCTACTTAGTAGTAGTTGACCGAGCAAAAACCCAACGCACAGGTATTGATGGTAATATTACATGCGTATTGTACATACTACTACATCTTTAAAGAGGGGCAAAAATCTAATATTCCAAGAGTCACTTATTGACAATTGGTGCAAATTCGAACACTGTCTGGGGTGGCAAAACTCTCTCCCTCGATGATCCTAACAGACGATATCAAAGCTGAATAGTAATGCGTATTACTACTGCACTACGCTAAGCCACTTAGGGGCTGGGGAAGATCCTCAAAGATGAGCAATTGGGGCTTCCGCAAGCGCTCTGGACAAGGGATTCCCCACACAAAAGTGCTCGGCCTGTGAAATTTTCGTACATTGCCGCACATCTGTGAAGTGGACGGCCGAGTCATACCTCCGAAAAGAGTAGACCGCCCGCCTTTTAAATGGACTCCACCCACTTTCCCTGTCTATGACTCTTTTCCTGCTTCCCTTTTTTTTTTTATCTCCCAGATATTTCATATAAACATTTGATCGTTTAGCCTGTGACTCATTGTGAGTACTGCTATATATAGTTACCTATACCTCGTCCAACTTGATCTAACTTCAACCTCGTTCCAGCGTCTTTTTCTCCCATCCAACTTCTAGACTTTACCCCACTATCTATAGATATCGTCACAATGTGCCCTGGTGCAGACAACGAGCCCAATGGGCACACGGCCGCTGCCAATGGCAATGGTATGTCTGGAAAGCACTTATTGTTGTTATACTTGACTGACTTCTACCGGAAGGCGAACACCCCGGCTTCACTGGCATCGAGACTCGCCAGAACCCCCACCCCTCCGCCTCCCGGAACCCCTACGGCCACAACGTTGGCGTAACCGACTTCTTGAGCAATGTCTCCCGGTTTAAGATCATTGAGAGTACCCTCCGTGAGGGTGAACAGTTCGCCAATGCTTTCTTTGATACCGAAAAGAAGATCGAAATCGCCAAGGCCCTGGATGACTTCGGTGTTGACTACGTGAGTCACATTCATACGAACTGTGGTTTGATCATGCTTGTTAACATATTGCCTGTTCTAGATCGAACTTACCAGCCCTTGTGCCTCTGAGCAGTCGAGACTTGACTGCGAGGCCATCTGCAAGCTCGGCTTGAAGGCCAAGGTACGTTGGATTCCTCATAGTTGTTCTCCTATCTTTGGACGGCACTAACCCACTCCATAGATTCTTACTCACATCCGTTGCCACATGGACGATGCCCGTGTTGCGGTCGAGACTGGTGTTGACGGAGTGTAAGTATGCCCATACTTCTTTTAAAATCTCTCATTCTTACAGTTTCTAGTGATGTTGTCATCGGCACGTCGTCCTACCTCCGTGAGCACTCTCACGGTAAGGACATGACCTACATCAAGAACACTGCTATTGAAGTTATTGAATACGTCAAGTCCAAGGGTATCGAGATTCGATTCTCTAGTGAGGACTCTTTCCGTTCTGACCTCGTCGACCTCTTGTCCATCTACTCCGCCGTTGACAAGGTTGGTGTTAACCGTGTTGGTATTGCCGATACCGTCGGCTGCGCTTCTCCTCGCCAGGTTTACGAGCTTGTTCGTGTCCTGAGGGGTGTTGTTGGCTGCGACATTGAGACCCACTTCCACAACGACACTGGCTGTGCCATTGCCAACGCCTACTGTGCCCTAGAGGCTGGTGCCACTCACATCGATACCTCCGTTCTCGGTATCGGTGAGCGTAACGGTATCACCCCTCTCGGTGGTCTCATGGCTCGTATGATGGTTGCCGACCCCGCCTACGTCAAGAGCAAGTACAAGCTGGAGAAGCTCAAGGACATTGAGGATCTCGTGGCCGAGGCGGTCGAGGTCAACATTCCTTTCAACAACTACATCACCGGTTTCTGTGCTTTCACCCACAAGGCTGGTATCCACGCTAAGGCCATCCTGAACAACCCTAGCACCTACGAGATCATCAACCCTGCCGACTTCGGCATGACCAGATACGTTCACTTCGCCTCTCGCCTGACTGGCTGGAACGCTATCAAGTCTCGTGCTCAGCAGCTCAAGATTGAGATGACTGACAGCCAATACAAGGAGTGCACCGCTAAGATCAAGGCTCTTGCTGATATCCGTCCCATTGCCGTCGACGATGCTGACAGTATCATCCGTGCTTACTATCGTAACCTCAAGTCGGGTGAGAACAAGCCTCTCCTTGATCTGACGGCTGATGAGCAGGCTCAGTTTGCTGCCAAGGAGAAGGAACTTGCTGCTTCCGGTGTTGTGGCTTAAACGATGCCGCTTAGCTTGGTTCAGATTTGTTCGCCTCCCTTTCTATATTTTTCTCCCTTTTGTGTTTCTTATTTCCCCTTTGCATTTCGGAATTTCATCTTTGGATTCAAGGGCCCAGTGTTTTAGAACTTTCATATCTCAGCGGCTCCCGACGAAGATGCGATTTTTTTCATGATTTGATGTTTATTTATGCGTCTCGGGCTTCATTGTTATCGGGTATTCAAAAGTCTTGTCCATGGATGTGAAAAAAGCAAGGAGAGACAGGTGTTCGGGACGCGTTGGTCTGGAGGAGTTTGTATATACGCAGACTTAGATGACTGCATTTTTCCTCTGATACACTGAACGCAGAAAACTATTTCGTCATTAACCTTGGCTGTTTGGGCTCGCTTACAGCCCGCTTCGGCTGCAAAGTGCTACTGTATAAATGTAATTTGGACGCTAGTCAGGGCCTAGTAGGCAAGACTAGAAAACCCGGGGAAACTAAATTCTGCAGGACGGGCGATGATGCAACGCTGGGCAAGAGGTTGCATGTGCGGCAGCAGCCGAGGCTGTGGTGGAATCATCGGCATTCTTAACGGCGGCTTCCCTCTAGACCCATTTCCCTGGAACGTCAATTCCGACGCTTCCACACATAGTCCATACTCGCTATCTGTTATCTTTGGAGGTCATCTTACTTTCTTATCAGTCTTCGAGACTGCTTTGAACATCACCATGGCGTCCTCGGTTCTTCCAGTCGCTTTACAAAATAAGCTGCTGGGATACAGCAGAGCTCCTAATGCGCAGTTGGCGGCGTTGAATTTGGAGATGTAAGTGGAACATCATTCCATCTCCCCGCCGTCCCCAACAGCTTGTAGGCATCCGCACGCACGGTTCCTAAAACTTCCATCTTGGTCCTCTGTCTCTCTAATGGAACAACAGTCTTAAAAACATCGTATTCTTAGTTTTTATTCTTCGCTACGTTCGCAAGACGTTCTATTCTTTACGCGGTTATGGTGTCCTCGGTAGCCTCCGACATGTCTACGCCGCGATCCGTCTCTTCTGCTACTCCATATTCCTGCGCTTCCCTGGTGTCCGCGGCCAGGTCGATAAGCAGGTTTCGTCAGCAATCGAAAACCTGGAGACAAAGCTTGTTGCAACCGGCCCTGGTGTCACGAGATATTTGAATCTACCTAAGGAAGGATGGACCCCCGAACAGATCCGCGCCGAGCTTGAGAAGCTGGCAAACATGGAGCATACCCGGTGGGAAGATGGTCGCGTCAGCGGTGCTGTGTATCATGGTGGACAAGATCTTCTGAAGCTTCAGGCTGAGGCGTTTGGGCAGTTTGGGGTCGCCAACCCCATCCACCCGGATGTCTTCCCTGGCGTCAGGAAGATGGAAGCTGAAGTTGTAGCTATGGTAGGTTGGGTCTTCTTGTCAAGCAATGTGAATTTGACGACTCATGCGATCGAACCCAGGTCCTCGCACTATTCAATGCTCCGTCTGATGGTGCTGGTGTTACTACGGGCGGTGGCACTGAATCTATCCTGATGGCCTGTCTGGCAGCGCGGCAAAAGGCGTATGCTGAACGCAAAATAACAGAGCCGGAAATGTGAGAATAAGCTACCTATGGTAAACTGATCCGTACTGACAGTTACAGGATCATTCCCGACACCGCTCATGCTGCTTTCTACAAGGCTTCCGAATACTTCGGAATCAAACTGCATCGCGTACCCTGCCCAGCTCCAGATTACAAAGTCGATATTCCTGCGGTGCGTCGCTTGATCAACCCGAACACTGTCCTCCTCGTTGGTTCCGCGCCAAACTTCCCCCATGGCATTGTTGATGATATTCCTGCCTTGTCCCGACTTGCCACAGCGTACAAGATCCCTCTGCATGTTGATTGCTGCTTGGGCTCCTTTGTGGTTGCGTTCCTCAAGAAGGCCGGCTTCCCATCTCCATATGAGGAGGAGGGTGGATTTGACTTCCGCCTTCCTGGTGTGACCAGCATCAGTGTAGACACGCATAAATACGGATTCGCGCCAAAGGGCAACTCTGTGTTGCTATACCGAAACCGAACCTACCGCAGCTATCAGTATTTCGTCTATCCTGACTGGTCCGGTGGTGTCTATGCATCTCCATCCGTGGCAGGATCTCGGCCAGGTGCTCTTATCGCGGGCTGTTGGGCCAGTTTGATGAGCGTTGGAGAAGCCGGTTACATCAAGAGTTGCCTTGACATTGTTGGTGCAGCAAAAAAGTTCGAGGCGTCTATTAGAGAACACCCGCTCCTATCGAAGAACCTTGATGTTGTTGGAAAGCCCATGATCAGCGTTGTTGCTTTCCAGAGCAAAAATGGCGCCGTTGACATCTACGATATGGCCGATGCTTTGTCCGCCAAGGGCTGGCATCTCAACGCTCTCCAATCGCCTGCAGCGATTCATGTAGCGTTTACTATTCCTACAGCCTCTGCTATCGACCAACTCACTACTGACATCATTGAGGTTGTCGAGAAGGAATTGGATAAGGCAGAGGAGAGGAAGCGACAAGGAAAGTCGTATATCATCAAGCGTGGTGATACGGCTGCCTTGTATGGTGTAGCCGGCAGTATGCCTGATAAGAGTATTGTCAGTCGCCTGGCAGAGGGCTTCCTGGATACACTGTATAAAGCCTAGATGGTTTTCGCTGATTGCAAAACTGCATTGTTAATATTCTTTGAATGTGAATAATCCTTATATGACATGGAAGAACGCGCCTTGCTGCGATGTAATTAGGAAAATGGCGTTTCTGGCGTTAAAACCGGGCTTCGCATTCACTAACGTAAATAAACCAGACAGTCCATCCTTAAGAGTTTCGAGCAATATCACATATCGATATCTTCGAGATCACATAGATTTCCAGTACCCTAATATAACACAGTAGCAAAGTATGTATAGTACAGTAAGTCATGTCGAACAAAGACTGAAAATATAAGAAATAAGACCGCTCCATGCAAGCAGATACAGAAAACATTTCAACCGCAAAAAGGTTCCAGGCAATTTCAGAACTGACCCCCAGCTTCACAGGTGCATTGACCATAGAAGCCAACGTTACCGTATCCCAGATTAGCCTTCCGAACAAAGTGTGAAAATAAAAGCAGAGTATCAATATAAAACATCTATTGACTCCTCTTCGCCTTCCACTCAGCACCCGATGTCTGTTCGATGTAGTATCCTGGATCCGGCTTCCGCTCCATATGGACTTCTTGTTTCGTTAACCGTCTATCAACCTCACGGACATCGACCAGCTCCTTAACTTTCATGATCTGACCGGCGACTGACGGAGTCACGGGGTGGAACACAGTCGCCATGCGCTTCTTGAGGCCCAAGGCCTTGAGGACGTCTGTTGTTCTCCGGGGGAGACCGATCGCAGAGCGTACGAGGGTGACACGGAAGTAGCTCATTGTGAGAATGATTTGTTTGTATGAGGTTTGAATCGTCGGAGAGGCGAGTTATAAGGTTTCTTTTGGAGTCGTTTTTCTCAATTTCGCGGCTCGGCCTGGGAATGGAATTTCGCGGACGGTCCGTGGTTTCACGTCTGGTTGTATGGCACAGATGACCAATTTATCGCGACAGGCCTGGAGCTGTGTTTTGATCCTGGGATACGGGACAATCGCACCAAGGCAGATAATTGTATATCAAACCATCACGGCGGGAATTTTGGCTTTCCGATCCAGTCGGCCTGCGAGGCGGAGAGTCACGTGTGTAGTATTCTGCCGGGGTCGTGCTGGCGGGCGGAGCGCCCCGTTTCAACTTGACAAGCTATTTGCTTGAATGAAACGCGGGGATGTGCCATTGACTGCTATTAGACATAGTGGTATGCATATTGTTGCTATCTTTCTGTGATTCTACATACGGCTGAACGAAAACTAATCTGAGTTCAAAGCGCTGTGCGTTTTAAGAGGGCATACTTGGCACACCATTGATTGCGGCGGTGTTGAGTACATTGCGATTGCGGTTGTTACGGATATTCTAATAACGGCTTCCCTGTCACTCTTATTATATGATTGCACTAAGGAGCTACCGAGTTGAATGACCCTGCAGCAGACGGGGCACTGAACACTAGTATCTTATTCCGATCTAGCACCCTTACCTAGTGTATGATATCGTCGAAATGGCACGAGGCGGAGACTCGGAAGGAACGGTGGCTCTACCACGGTTAGAAGATATCCTACGTCACCCAGAAGACCTGGACAAGATCGCCGGACTGAGGGCGGAATACTCGCGGAAAAAGGCAGCCGTCGATTCACAGCTCCGAGAAGGCCTCCGGGGTCAACTGGAGACAGTACAACGCAGCATCGGCGCGCTAACCGAAGGTCAGCGCCAGGTTTCGAAGACAAAAGATGAACTCCAGGGGATTGACAAACTATGCGCGGAATCACAATCCAGCGTCGAGGATTTCTCCCAAATTGATCGACTTGCCAAAGTGCAGAGGAACTTCGAGGCGGTCTTGACGATGAAGAAGGGGCTGGAGAACTTTAGTGAGAATCTTGCCGAGGTTGAGAATCTCCTGAAAGAGGATGATGATGATCTCGAGAACCAGCCGAATTTACTGCGGGCTCATATGCAGATATCTAAGTTGAGAGATTTCCGGGACGAGGCAATGGATCAGATACGGAAGGCTCAGGACCCGAGCAGTGAAGCCACGCTGGAGGATTACTTCCAGGGTCTGGATAGTGTTATCGACTGGTTCGATGATCATTTGGGAACTGCTTGTATGAATCTGATCCCGCTTGTGCAGTCTGACAACCCTAGTATGGTTGTCCGCCTGGCTGTTGTTGTCATGAACGAGGAGAAGAAGGATGAAACGGTTCGTGCTTTGCAGGAAGCGCAGAAGGACCACCAGGATCTGGCAGGCCGGTTCAAGTCGATGAATGTGGGCCCCAAAACGGTTAGGGCTATAAGGAAAAGTTTCTCCAAGCCATTGAATTCTACGCACAGAATCAGTTTGAGAATACCAAGGAGGAATTCCTCAGCGATCCAGATATCCTAGAGAAGAGTTTTCGATGGTTCTTCAATGACCTTTTCTCTGTTAAGCAGGGGATGCAGACATTAATGCCAAAGAAGTGGAAGATCTACAAAACATACACCGATATCTACCATCGGATGATGCATGACTTCTTCGTGGATCTGATCAATGACCCTGAGCTACCCCCAGATAATCTTCTTTCTATTATCCACTGGAGCGAGAAATACTACAAGAAGATGAACAAACTCGGCTGGAAACAGGCAGACCTGCGACCAAACATTCTCGATGACCGTGAACCTGAGCTCATTCGACAGTGGCAGAGCATTATCATCAAAGCGGTCGAAGAATGGATGGAGAGGATCACAGAGACCGACAGGAAAGGCCTGGTGGAGCGCATCCCTGACTCTCTGGACACTAATGCAGAGGGCTATTTCCGCACCAAAACCCTTCCAGATATGTGGCGTATGATTCATGAACAGATCCAGGCAGCTACCGCCTCGTCCCGCACAGACCTGGTCGAAGGCATTATCGATTCTATGTTCCGAGTGCTCAAGGGACGTCAGGCCGCTTGGCAATCACTCATCGAAGAGGAGTGCGCTAAGTACAAGGCGCCAGGTGGCGACCAGCTTGATGGATTGCAGCTGTTACAGGACTGGCTTGTTGCGGTGGCTAACGATCAGATTGCTTGCATCGATGACAATGATGAATCAGGGCAACTGGGCTACCTGTCGAGGTTCAAGCGCGATTTCGAGGCGCACGTCGACCCGAAATACATGGCGGCGCGAGCTATACCCGAGCTGGACGCTCTTCGCGACGGTTACGTGGATCTAAGTACCTACTGTCTTACTCAATTCGTCGAAATGGTTTTTGCTGTCGATTTCCGCTCTACTATCCCCGATTTCTTCACTCAGAAGTGGTATGGCGACTTTGCCATCAAGCGGATCACATCTACATTCGAGGATTACATGGCCGATTACTCGCCTGTCATTCACCCATCTCTTGTTGACATCTTAGTCGAGGAGCTCTCCGACGAACTCTTGGTCCGGTACCTGTCGTCTGTGCGTAACCGCGGCGTCAAGTTCCGGCGACACACTGATCCATACACGGACAAGTTCAAGGACGACGTTCTCACCGTTTTCGCCTTCTTTCAAAACTATCCGGACTCGTTTGCCAGTACCATCAAGCAAAAGTGGCGACTCGTCGACTGGTTGGTTCGCCTGCTTGAATCAGAGAAGGGTCCTGCCGTTGTTGCAGTCTACGAGGATTTCAAAATGGAATACTGGGATCTTCAGCTGACGTGGGTTGAGGCAGTGCTTAGGACAAGGGATGACTTTGAGAGAAGCATGATCAGCGCTGTCAAGGCCAAGGCAGCAGAGTTGTCGGTGGAAAGAGGTATGGAGACTCTTATGAGTCGGATGAGGTAGTTAAATGATATTTGGGGGATGAATGGCAGTGCTCTATTCAGCGCGGAGTTAGGAGTTATTTTTGGTTAGATGCCAGGCTGTTGCCAAGATGTACTCTATAATGTGGATCCAATGATTCCAATCTATATGCTCGTTTTACTTCGCTAGAAGCATGTCTAATTATTTGACGCTGGGTATATAACAGTCAACGAATATTCACACCACCCCCGTCACTACTGGCATCAATCTTATCATCCCCGTCTCCAGTAGACTAAAACTCCAAGCTCCTTTCTACTACAGGCAAGTATTTCTCCCGCAACCGCGCGTTCATTCCATCCTCGTCGGCCTCTGGGTCAAGTTTCTTCGCACCCATCTCACAGATACATACCGTTTCAAGGGCGAAGTCCCTCGCCCACACGAAGGGATATTGCTGTCTACTGCCACCAGTGGCATCGCTAGATGCCCTTCTATTGTTGGATGACTTGTCTCCTTCACTTTCCGAACCGCTGGTCTCATTATCGGAAAGACCCTCCCCGTTCAGCTGATCTTGCTCACTACCCCTGCTAGTAGTAACCACCGTAGCTCGAGGAGTCGTTCTATCACCATCAACATAGTAATTCCGATAGTGGGACAGGAAATCCCGCGCATCAAAAGTGTATTGGTTTTTGCGGCTTTGACCCTTGTGCGGTCCTCCACCCCGTGCTCTCCCACGGACATAAATCGTATTTG